GGAGGGGGAGACGAACCATGAGAGACTATGGACTCTAAGAAACAAACTGAGGGTTCTGGAGGGGGGGTTGGGAGGATGGGTTAGCCTGGTGATGGGTATTAAAGAGGGCATGTACCACATGGAGCACTGGGTGTTATACGCAAACAATGAATCATGCAACACTACATCAAAAACTAATGATGTAATATATGGTGATTAACATAATTAAAAAATAAATAAGAATAAATAAATAAATAAACCAAATGAGTAAATTTTTCACTCATTAGATATAAATGCTTAATAAAGTAATCATTGATTTCCATACACTAACTTCCTTTATCAAATAATGTATTAATCTTAAAATGTTCTGGTTTTGAAGTACATTTATCAGACATAAGCTATTAATTGTCATTCCACATTTTTTTGTTCTTATTTCCTAAAGAACTATGCAAACAGACTTTGGCTTCCCATTGCTTTCTCAATAGCCCAAAACACACTGAGCTAAAATGAACAGATCAGGGTACAACCGTTCAGTCTTCAGTTGACTGGTGATTGATAAGTACTGCTCCAAAATCTATTCCATGGGTTGATAGATTGGTGAATGTTCAATTCATGCAGATGCTCAAAATTAATTTGCTGCATTAAGACCCCCCTTAATTCTTTATTCACTCAGCCAGCACCTATCAAATACTCTCTTTTCTTTTTTTAACCTTAATCAACTCATTCCAACAAATATATTTTGAACACATATAGTGTGAAAGCCACAGTTTTAACCTAGGGATTAAAATTACTAAGACTCATTTTCTGCTCATAGAAAAGCACATGGGAAACTATAAGACAAGGCAGAATAAGTACCACAGTAGAGGGGGCTGAATAATGGCTCCCCCCAAATGCTCACATCTTAATTCCCAGAACCTCTAAATACGTTACCTTACATGACAAAAGGTAATTTGAAGGTGAGATTAAATTAAGGATTTTGGGATGAGGAGAGTATCTGGATTATCCAAGTTAACCTGCTGCGATAAAAAAAGGTCATTATAAGTGAAAGAGTGATACAGGAATGTCAGAGGCAGAGATTTGAAGATGCTATGCTGCTGGCTTTGAGATGGAAGGAACCGCAAGCCAAGGAATGTAGGTGACTTCTGGAAGCTGGCAACGGCAAGGAAACAGATTCATTCCTAGAGCCTCCAGAAGGAATACAGCCTTGCAAACCATTTTGGCTTTAGCCTTTTAAGACCCATTTTGGACTCCTGAATTCCAGAAACTTGAGACCTCCAGAACTTAATTTGTGTTCGTTTAAGCCACTTTGTGTTTTTAAGCCACTAAGTTTGGGGTGATTTGTTACAGCAGCAATAGGAAACACACAGATAGGAACAAGATTACTTCTGACCAGAGACATCAGGAACAATTTTCTAGAGGAGATTAAATGGAACCATGACAGAGGTCTCACTTCTGCATCCTTTTGATCTATACTGTCTAGTACAGTAACCACTAAACACATGTGACTAAATTGAAACTAGAATTAAAAAAATTTTATATTCAGTTTTTGCACTAGCCACGTGTCAAGTGCTTAATAGCCACACATGGCTAGTGGGTACTCTATT